TGTAGGCAGAGGTGGCATGACACTTGATTTAATGTCTAGAACATTTGGAGATCCCAGCTGGCCCTCCAATGAAGGCATCCAGGGTGGAGATGGTGTGGGATGATAGGCCAAGGGCAGGCCCTTCCCCCACAGCTGGCTTCTCAAGGAGTATCTTTTGTTCTAACCTCCAGTTGGGTTCTGATTCCACTCTGATCTCTGAACCAGCAGAAGAGACAAGCTTGCCTCCTGGGCTCTGAGGGCCCTGCCTCGGTGTGCACTCACTGACGACAGCAACTGCTGAGTTTGGCATGACGTACCAGACCAACTAGCACGCTATCTCCTACCACACTCACCCTCTGGGAGACTTGTTAACATCCCATTGTATAGACGTGGAGCCGAGAGAGCATTTGATCAAGGTTACTGACTTAGCAAGCAAAGACAGGGATCCTAGGAGCCAGGGACCACACCCATCCTTGCTGTGAACACACACCTGCCGAGGAAGCAGAGTCGGGGCTGCCAACAGGACTGATGTGTTGGAACTAGGTGACAGATTGTTCCAGATCACAAAGGCAGAGAAGATCGGAGCTCCAGAGAAGAGTCTGTGTGTGTGTGTGTGTGTGTGTGTGTGTGTGTGTGTGAGTGTGTGTGTGTGTGAGTGTGTGTGAGTGTGTGTGTGAGTGTGTGTGTGTGTGTGTGAGTGTGTGTGTGTGTGTGGGTTGGGGTGTGTGTGTGAGGGAGAGGGGGAGAGGGGGGGGGCACTGGTAGTCACAGAAGACTTCCTGGAGGAGGGGGAAGCTATGCTTAAGATTCCTCAGGAAGCAGCATGGTAGCTCTAAGCATCTAAGCCCTGCACTCAGGATTAGAGACCAGGCCAGTGTCCTGTCTGTCACCCAGGAGAGGGGAGGGGAAGGAAGTTCTTCCATGTTTGCATGAAGCACCCAAGGACAAGGATCAATCCCTTTGGCTACTTACTGAAAAGCTACGAGAGTGGGCAGTGCTGAGAACTGCCTGATTCATGGCGGTGGTCCTCCAGACTCTTGGTGGCAAGGTGCCAGTTTTAGCCTTCTGAAAGGTCAGACGCAGGTCCAGGCCGCCTGGGCTCTGGGTCTGAGGTCACCGGGCCCACGGATGGGTGGGTCCAGACCTGGAGTAGCAGCCGGAAGCCCTCTCCTGCAGGGACCCAGGCTTGTGCCACGACTTAATTGAATGCTTCTGATCTCGAAACTCCACTACTTTCTTCAGAGACCCATTTGAGCTGCGCTGCTGTCTGAATGGAAGCTAGTTTTCACTCTTAGCATTCAGGGAAGACAACCATAACCAAACAGGATGGACTGCCTGCCCCGAGCGCCTGCTCTTCCAGCCAGATAAAAAAGGGTGGAGCAACCGGCAACAGGGAGGAGTTAGCTACACCGGCACCCCGAGAAGCAGCCTCCTGGGCCCAGTGCCCAGGCCTGAACTACAAAAGGGACAACTTCAGAGGCCAGCCTGGAAGTTCATAGTGAGTTTAGGGCCCCTGCAATCCGCTCAGTAACGCCACTGTTCTGCCTTTTGAAACCGGGGTTCGGCGGGCGACTCCATGACCTTGGGCCGCGCAGCACACCACCCCAGCCTCAGTTTCTCTGGTTGCTAACTTGAAAGCGATGTCTTTCGGATTCTAGGGACCTGAGAACTCAGGGACCCCGGAGCTGACCCATTTTGGGCAGCTGCGATGCGAAGCGGTCCTTGGGGCTGGCCCTGGCATGGCGCTTGGGTTACTTGGGGTTCAGGGTCCGAGTGGGTGTGGGGACGCTTACCTGGCGACTAAGGCAGTCCCTGCGGGCCGTGTGCAGCAGCCGGGTGTCCGGCCCTGGGCGGGACAAGGCCAAGGCCCAGTGCCCTGAAGCACAGGAGGTGGTGGCTCCCAGGAGCCCAGGGGCCC